AGCAGATTTGTGCCAATTTAAAATTCTAGAGTGCATAACGAGACTAAACCATCCGACCATACAAACTTATGGAATTCCGGATGAGCTATTGAAGGGACAGTCCTTGGAATTACCCTCCAAAAGAAGAAAAGAGAGTGCTAGTGAGTGCTGGAAAAACGTCGTGTATCCTCTTCAAGCAACATACACACACACACACACAAAGAGACATAACACTAACTAGCAACCAATCCTAACGTACTTATTTCTGTTAATCAAGTAGTTTCACAGAAGTTAATGGAAAAAAAATATAAAGAGAAATGTCTTAAGCAAACGACACTTTCACTGTTCCCGCTATTTAACCAACTAACAAGTGATTATGACAAGCCCTCTAACTCTGGTCTTGTCGTTCAAAATTGAATAAAACTGGAGGGGAAACAAGTCTCCGACTGAACACTAAGTAAAGAAAGATTAAAATATAAAATAACTCATTAATGAAAATCATTTAATCAACTCACTTCTTCGACCATTTCCTTCTTAATACACGTTGTTTGCTTTTCTGTCTTCGATTTACGTTTCGTCTCAATTAGAGTTTGAGCCGGCGGATAAGGATTGAGTGCATTGAGTTCACCGCCCACTGTTACCGTCGAGGTTGCTGAAAGAAAATCTGTTCCAGGAGGCATCGATGGAAGTATTCCATGTTGGAGAGGAATTGGTGGACCAAGTGGTGCTATGAGAAAGTGAAAGAAACAATGTATACAACCCGATCTCCAACCGTGAACGATCTTATTTGTTCCTAACTATATGGGCACTAATTATAAAGTAGGATTTTATAAAGTCAGGTCTCCAAGTAAGTCGTATTGTAAAACCGATCGATAATAAGGGGTAATTCAATTCCTCGTTATTTATATCCCTTTGTTCAACTCTAATCTACCTCCGTGAAATGATATTCCAAACAGCAAGAAGGTAATATTACTAATTCTCTGGTAGCATTTATGAAAAATTAATCTATTATGGGAGAAATTAGCCCATTACAAATGCAGTGAATGTGAACGTTCCCTGTCTGAATGTCAGCCACTATTCATGATAAGATATTTATAACTAACATACACGAAATCTTCATGTTTGCCTTTCCACTCACTTCGCGTCTTCAGGTAGCACTTCTAATGCAAACATTAAACGACAGATTGTCAATCGAATTGACTCAGTAAAAGCTTTTTTTCCAAAACCCAGAGTGTTCAGAAAATATGACTAAAAAAGTCTCAAACTTGCACATATTAAGCAATAGAAATAAAAGAGCCAAGTGTCTATAACTCGACAATAACTATTATTGTGTAATGAAATTGGGAAATTAGTATTGTTTACAGATCCAATGTAACTTGACAGGCTCCCCAAAAATAATCAATTCAAACTTGTATCTACCGCGTCCTTTTGCACAGGCCGACAAAAGTTCAAAGCTTTGACAAGTGGATTTCTAACTAAATGACGAGGGAACCTTTTAACACTTCGGGAATAGCTGCAAATTGCAAAGTAGCCTTGAAGCTCCCTGAGAAGGTCTATTCACACTAATCTTGTTCTCTCAAATTCTAACGTCTCTCTCAGTTCTTTTACAGACAGGATGTAATCAGTGCGAGGTAATGTATTCATCGACTCGACGACAACAAAAAATTGACTTATTCTATCTTCTTTTTAGCTTTCCCCTTCATTAGCAGTAGTAAATGTTGTGTCCATTTCAATTTCTTGATAATCTAACAAAGATAGGCCAAACACTTACTCCTACGGTATTCATCATTTTTATGGTAATCGTCTATCTTGGTAACTACTTTTTTCAGAATTTTTGCAGGTACTGAATTCTAAATACCTGGTCCATGCCAAGTAGGTCCAGCAATAGCAAGACCAGGAGCAGTTTTTGGACTAATGACCACATTCAAACCACTATTCCCTGAAGCAAAGAGTCTTGGAGGCAGACGAGAATTAGGGGGCACGAAATTGGGAGGTCGAGGAAGGGCAGAATTTCCCATAGTACCATTGTATTGAGGGTAAGGATGAATCGGTGTGAGGATGAGATGAGTTAGAATACCGTCTTCATCCACAATCTGCTGTACCAAGTGTCCAGGTGGAACTTGCATTGACATAGGCAAGGGAGGACCATTATTCACAACTAACCGTACTGTTGCCGGTCCTGGAAAGATAAAACAGGAAATAAGTAGGTGCTTTTAAGTAACCACCAAATCAAGTTCTAGCAAAAAGAAAAATAGTCAAACCGACTTACTAGACACTAATGTTTACCATTTTCACTCGGACGGGATTGGGAGTTAATGTGGCTGCTAGTGTTACCACTGAGAAAGATGGGCTTTTAGTATATGAATTCACCCATTACAGCATGAAACCACAAAAGTGTAAACTAGCTTTTTGGAAAAGAATGGTAGTATATTGCATTTAGTACATAGATGAAAACTCGAATGCCTGGAATAGTAACCCCCCCCCCCCAATTTCCTTCCCCGCATGGTAATAAACGAAAGAAAATAGGAAATAGTGGGCGTTAGGCAAGATAATAGGCACATGCTTTTCTCGGCTTCAGTTCATCCTGTGCATATTCCCCGGTGGAAGTTTACAGACCACCAACTCATCTATATTGATAAATAGGGCAGATGCGACGGCAGGGGTTGGGTGGGGTGGGGATGAAGGGGCTATCTGAATGATATTAGAAATAAGTGCTTTTATTTCCCTGATTATCAATTACTACCCCCCCCNATTACCCCCCCCCCCCCCCCACCCCCCACTCCAAGATAAAGATTTGACAATTAATAGGACGACACAGTGATGCATATGGGTGTTGAGCACATGTTTATCCATCAAGTAACCAGAAGAAGAATGGGAGCCAATTTCTGTTTATATATATATATATATATATATATATATATATATATATATATATATATATACGTGGAAGAGTGTTAAACTAAACCACCTAAATACTTAAGGACTGTTAAAACAAGATAACGACCTTAGTATTCAGGTCATTGAATGAGAACACGTTGAGACAAAATATCACTTTCCTTAATAGCAGAGAAATGAAATCGATGGCATATCTTGAAATAGAATATAAGGATATAAATTGATAGTTTCTACTTGTTACCTAAATCTGATCAATTTTTTGATACAATTGATTTCGGGCTTAAATCCATAGTTAGTCGAATTGCAAATTGATACACTGCTTGATGGTCGTATGTTATGAAATATAAAGCAAACCTCAAGTAATGGAAGAAAACGACGTTCTGGTGAATTAAAGAAAAAGAGGAGACAAAAAATATGCCAATTCTGAGAGGCAATGTTCATCAATCAATAGGCAAACAGAAGGAATTAACGAGGAAGTATTTAAAATAACAAGTAACAAGAAAACCCTAACAATAATAGATATCAACTATTTTACTCACCGCAGATTTGGACATCGATAAGTGATCCTTTTGTGTTATAATATATTTCAAATATTCGAAGCATAGTAATGCTTTATTAAATAGAGGAGAAAAATAAACGAACCTGGAATTTGTTGTTCTTGATCCCCAGTTCGAATGGAAAAGGTGGCACCAGCCTCAACATGTATCATTACATAATACTCTTTGTTGGTTCCATTCTGTGGAAAACCTAAACCATAAAGACTATTATCCTGAAACAGTGGCTGAGGGGAGTTGTTAATATGCTTATTCTTAGATCTTGAAAACGGTTTCCTTGGAAGTGGCATAGATGGTTGCTGGGAGAAAATTTGTGGGGCAATCACAGGGTTCATGAGAGATTCAATAGGAGTAGGAGCAAATGAAGCCACATTAGGATTGAGAAAGACAGGATTTAAATGGAATGATGGAAGATAAATGGAGGGAGGAAGATCCATTAAAGGAGTAGGAGTAAAGGTTGAAGCAAATGAAGTACTCGACTTAGAAGATTCCGAAGCCTGAGGAGGAGGTGTAGAGACCGAAGTCGGCGGTGTATCACATTTTTGGGATTCTTCAGAAGTGGTTAGCTTTTCAGTTTCCGATGGTAACTTATTATCCGACTTATCCACGTAGTCATCTACCTCACAAGGTTCCACAGAATCGTTAGCAAGAACTTCTGATTTGAGAGAAGGGGTTACTTCGTCTGGTTTGTTTTTAATATCCGAAGGTGTTTGAGTAACATTCCATTCAAGAGAAGAATCGCGATTACTTTTTTCAGATAGGGATTCGGTGGAAGGTGGAGTCGAAACATCAGGCCTTGATGCTGATTTGACTTTATCTGATGGTTTTCCATCGTTGCGGGAGAAAAATGGCTTACTTAATGGCTCATCAAGCATGAGGGTGGAATATTTAGGTCGGTAGACGGAATTAACGTCCAGTTGATACTTGGATGACCGGGAGAAAAATGATGGCTTTAAATTATTTTCTTGTGAATGTTCTTCGAACATAGTGCATAAAATGTAAATACTAAATCTCAGATACTATGCCACGACATCACAATTATGGTTAAGAGAAAGACGCGTTTCGAGATATTCGAGTATGCGGTCCAAGCCAACAGTAGATGGAAATTAGGCATGTTGATTTAATAAAACAACTATAAGTAAGAGATGTTAAACTACCTGTAAAAATCAATTAAAGTATTTTTCATAAATTTCATGAAAAAATAATTCTTTTTGAACATTCAGTTTTGTTTTATAGAGCAACCGAAAATAACAATTTTGTCTGATTTAATATGAAATAAATAAAAGCCAAAAAATTCTCATAAAATTTGGATGCTTTAATTGCAACCAATTAAATGCACTTACAATTATTACACACAAAGTTGTTCAAACTTGAAGAAGAAAATTCTACTAAATTTGTAAATATTATGCACAAAATGATCATTTTTTCTGAAAAACTGCTTGTGATTCTAAAACAGGATTGCGTGATCCGGTGTTGAACGAATTCAGCCAGTTATCCTTCTCATATTACTTAATCAGTACGGAAGTCGGTTGAAAGCCATCAAAATTTTCCAAAATATAGATAGTTTTTTCTAAATATGCCTCACCATCAGGCTCCAGTCAACGTTGATATCTGTTTTATTTTTTTTATGCAAATACTTACAGCCGTACGATCTGTAGTAAAGCAGTCAAAATTTTAAAGCCAGGTTTATAACAGCGCATTTGGCCTATCCCTGACTCAATTGGGATACATATATAAAGAAGTAGAGTATTACGAAAACCTAATTTCTAGTTCATCAGCCAAACTGTTTTACGTGTATCATTGAATCATTATATGCTAATTACGGAAATTTGTTAGATTTCTGAAGGCATATTAATACGAAATGCATTATTAAAGAAAAAAATATATAAGCTTATTAACACAAAAATTTTAATAATCCTATAGCTATTTGAAATCAGAAAGAAATCTAAAGTGGCCTTGGCATAAGTGTAATGCATGAAAATATGAGATTTGTAAGTTGTTATTATCTATGATGACATATAGTGTTAAGCATGCAACTATTTCAGAATTTATTTTTGTCAGTCTGTGATACTCTTGATTTCGTTCTTATTGACTATTTTATTTTAAGTAAGCTTACCAATGTAAATGGAGCACAATAGAAATTAAATTAAAGGTTGTATCGAGAATTTGACTATCATGCTGGCAGAAGAAACATAAACGCTTTTGAATGTCTATATTAACAACTGTATTAAATTTAATCTAAGTTTTATTACTGGCATTAAATAATCATTTTACTTGTTTTAACACACCATAGTCTGGTGTTATTGAAATTAGTTAATATGGCAGCGTCCTTGGACGTAGACTTACAAGTGGTAATTTCTAATACTTTATACACTAAACATCTTTAAAGACACCTCTTAGGTATTTGATTTTCGGATCTTACATTGGAAATTATTATCTTTTTGGACTGGCCTTATTTTCTTACTAATGTTTAACCTATTATTATTGTCCCACCCGTGTACTTTTGCCTGCGTATAGTTATTTTTCATGCACACTTTATGTTAATTATTGCATCTTTAGTACACTAGTTTTTCTAGGACAGTTAAATCCTTGTATGGCAATGTTTTCAAATTCGATTTAGTTGTTTATATGCGGACATATATTTTTGGTTTTGTATTGATATTGTTCTTGTAGATTATGAATCAATATCCTCAACAGTCATCGCATTCAAATTCTTCTGATCAGCATTTTCTTGGACAAAACTCTCAGGAGCAACAGATACATCGCCCAATGAATGCTACAGGTACATTAATATTTTTAGTCGCAAGTTTTTCAGATTTTAACTCAATGGCCGGTCATCACGCCCAGTCCGTCTCTGATATCCCAGTTGGTATGTATAATCAGGCGGATAATTCCCATTCCGGCTTTCACTCATCTAATCAACAATACTACTCCCAATTTGCACATAATCATTCTCCTCAAAATCGTGAAGACTTGGATATGACGCAATCGTACTATGGTATCATGCCGGTCACCGATAAATATAATTCTAACACTCCTACTAATTCTATTCCCCAACAACCCTCATATCCCACTGTTAATGAATCCGTCAATGGCCCGAAAGAAGTTCAGAATGCTACCCCAACTCCTGTCAAAAGAAAACGAGGTCGTCCTGCTCTTTACCCCCAGGCTGATAATGGTGTGTATCTAATTTTGTTATTTTGACGTATTTTATCGGGTTGTAATTCATTTTGTGTCTCTTAGATGGTAGAGGAGCTATCACAGACGAAGAAGAACATACCCTTTTCGGAGCGATTCGTTCCGGCCGGTCGTCTCCCCAAACACTAGTGGACGATTGGATAGAGCAGTACAAGACAAATCGTGCTCCTGCTATGCTAGAATTGGTTCAATTCTTCATATCCTGTTCGGGATGCAAGGGCAAGGTTTCACTGGATATGTACAACAGTCTCAGTCACACTGAAATTATCAAGCGTATGACTGAGGAATTTGATGAAGACTCAGGCGAGTATCCGTTAGTCCAATCTAGCCAAATTTGGCGTAGATTCAGGACAAACTTTATGGAATTCATCCAAGTTCTCATCCGTCAGTGTCAATACAGTATCATTTACGACCAGTGTATGGTTGAACAAATTGGTTCCCTTCTTACTGGTCTCTCAGACTCTCCTGTAAGTTTTAAACTTTCAGTTATTCAATTAAACTAATTAGTTACTCTTATGCCAAGGACATTCGTTTGAATACCTTTATACATTTCACTCCCTCAATATCTTACAAATGCCAATTTTGATTTTCGCTTTATTTTTTTCTCTGTTGCGAAATAATTTGCTTTGCATACGACTTCTTCCGTTATTGTGCTCTACCCTTATCTTGAGCAGGAATGTTTCACACTCGAATCCCTTTTAAAAGTGTATATTCTTTAGGACATTTAAAATCATGGGGTTACATTAAAGACGGCAACTTCATAGAAAAGGTGCTGGTCTCCGTGTTTATTGACTTGTTTGCTTCCGGTAATATGCTAAAGCTGATGATTTAACAGTAATCGATTACGAATTTTTTATGATACGCATAATTCAGCTAATTCTATGTTTCCTCATCTGAAGTGCGGAGTATCCTCATAATTGAGGGGATTGAACCTCTTGCTGTCGATTTCGACTTGTAGAAAATAAAATGTGCTCACACTATCAATAAAAATACTGCAATCCGTTAGAATGCCTTCCTAATAGTCCATAATTACTATCCATCTTTCTTTTTCCTGTTTTAGGTCCGTGCATTTCGCCATACGAGTACCTTAGCAGCAATGAAAATGATGACAGCTCTAGTAGACGTCGCTCTGAACGTCAGCATTAATCGTGATAACACCCAACGTCAGTACGAATCCGAACGCTCTCGTAGTGGAAACTCAGCTACTGCAAACCGTCGTTCTGGTTCAGCTGTCAGTGATCGATTGGAAGTCCTCATGACTCGTCGTCAGGAGCTAGAGGAGAATATGAAGGAGGTGAAAGATATGCTGGTTATGCTTTTTAAGGGAGTCTTTATCCATCGTTATCGCGACAGCCAACCCGAGATTCGTGCTATCTGTATCGCCGAGATTGGGGTGTGGATGAGACGATATCCTGCTATGTTTCTGGATGACAGCTACCTTAAGTACATTGGTTGGACTCTTTATGACAGGGTTGGTGAAGTTCGACTCCAATGTCTTCGTGCTCTACAGCCTCTTTACGATGATCCGAACTACGTGTCAAATTTGTGTCTCTTTACCTCCCGTTTTAAGCAAAGATTGGTTGATATGACTCTGGATAAGGAATTAGATGTTGCTGTTCAGGCTGTTAAAGTTGTCTCCTGTATTCTTAAGTAAGTAAAATTTCACCATTATGTCTCGTGATTTAGACAAAGTATAAGTCACTATCTACTTCTTTTAGACACACGGAGTCTAAACTGGAGGATAAAGATTGTGAGAACATCTACGAATTAGTCTACTGTACACACAGACCTCTAGCTCAAGCAGCCGGTGAATTCCTAACCCTTAAACTCTTTGAGGTTGATGCGAGTGCACCGATCGCTAGGACGAAGAAGGGCAAAAAGCGAAGTGAAAATACCCCCCTTATTCGTGATTTAATACAATTTTTCATTGAGAGTGAATTACACGAACATGCCACCTACTTAGTTGACAGTCTGTGGGAGATTGCGCCCATGCTTCGCGATTGGGAGGCAATGATTGACTTGCTGATTGAAGAACCCGGAAAGAATGAGGAACCGCTGGATGCAAATCAAGAAAGTAGTCTAATTGAAATTATGGTGTGCTGTGTGCAACAAGCAGCCACTGGAGAGAGTCCGGTTGGTCGCCAAGTGAGTTAATAAAAAAAGACTTTTTCGCACGTAGCTCTTGGTGCGAGTGATTGAAAAATAAATTATTTCCTTAGTTGATGCAATTGTCATATTAACGTAGATGTGAAATTTTCAGGCTTTTAGTGTGTATGTTTTGTTTGAAGTCAATCTGATTTATCATTGTTAATGTACATCATCCAAGTTCATAGCTAATAATCATGATATAAAGTAAAATAACAATGATTAGGCAAACTTTAGTTTAATTGTTCAATTTTGTTTTAATACTAGCAAATTGGATTATTTCCTGTAAGTATTGTGCATTTTAAGCCAAAATTGTTTGAATGCAATATGCTAGTTGCTATAAATCCATCCAATATATATGTAAATCTTCCTAAATGGAAGACAGCCAGAAGCAAATGTTTGTACTTTTAAACTGAGTGGCTTTCCTGCTTTAAGAAGCTAAGACCGATTTTCAGTTTTATACTTTAAACGATGCTGTGTTTGATTTTAATTGTCATATGCCTATTTTTTAATTTCGAATTCAGATTTGATTGCCGAAAGTCAGTCAACGGGAGGTTTTTTTGAGTGGAAATTTGTATTAGGCATTTTCCTGAGTCAAGTTAATGCTAAAATTCCCCTATGGTATCAAATCGCAATGCTCTGGTGAAGTTTTGATTATGATTCTTGCTTTTCGCATTAACATGATTCCATTCATTAAACTTAGTTGGTCGAAGTAGTTTATCATTAATTTGTCTTATTTTTCATTTGGTCAAGTCATTTTAACGCTTTTGATAGTTTTCTCGGCGGCAATGACATCACTAGTAATAGTCATAAAGGGGTTTTCTTGTCAAATTATAAACCCAATGAGTTATTGGGGAAAAATATGAGTCAACTCCCATACTGTCCTTAATTTTTGTGAAATGTCAACACGAGACACAGATGCTGTCCTTTTACTGTTATCAAACAACCTTAAAGTAGTAGAGTAAATCTTAAACAACAGTAGAAGGTTGGTAAAAAGTGTGGCCATTTGAAGGTCGAACGTTAAAGTTCTTAGTGGAAATGTCTCAAAATAGTTGCACCGTTTTATCACTAAGGGCCTCTTGATTTGGATCAGTTAAGAGCTTTTTAGGTCTGTTAGAGTTTATTATCACCTTCTAATGTATGTTTTTATTACTTTGTAAACCCCAAAGTAAATTATTCGAAAAAGTTGGTGATTATGTCATTCTAATCCTTAAATCTACACAAATATGTGACACTATTAGCTGTTCTACGCTTCATGTACAAATCAACTTAACTTATGCTCTATTCTTGCCTTGATAGTCTGGCTCTCACTCCTCTTCCGCAGTAGTCTTGGGTGCCGGTGAGGCTGCTATACCGCGTGTCGGTCGAGGTGGGGTTCTTTCAGCTCGCGAGGCGAAAGCCCTGGCCGAAGCGCGAGCTCGAATGACGGAGGCGATGATCCCTGCTCTACATCCTCTTCTCACGCGCTTCGGTGAGTCTGCCGAACGAGCAACCACCCTTCTACAAATTCCTCGCTACATGGATCTTGAAATATATACCACTGGGCGACATCAACGACAATTGGATCTCCTTCTGCAATGTATCGAGGTAAGTAAGCTGTATTAATTCCGTTGCTACTTGTCAAGGCTCAAGTTTAGGTGAATTTTTCACTTCTTTCTATCAGTAATGCTGATTAAGAGTTCTTTAAATTTTTGCCTTTTGAATGCACTTCGATCAGTGTCTACTTTTGAAAGCTTTTTCTAGTCCATATTATGTACATTTGCCTATGAGACTGTTTTGGGTATCTATTTGCTTAAGCCTATGAATTCAACTTGCTTAAGAGGGTAGTCGGCGTAAAATCAAAGTATTGTTCCTGTTGTAGTAGTATTCAATCTTCAATTCTGGAAAATTATTTTGTCCACTGTCTATTAAATGGTATTTTTGTGAAATTTATGGTTTTATTTGAACATTGTACAACGCTAAGTGCGTTGATGGTGCCGTGGTTCAAGTGCTCATCTGCGGTCCGGTGTAGACTCACTGAAGGGCTAGATTAAGTCGGGCTAATAAAGGGATGTCAGAATTAGTAATTTTCATTGAATGCCAAGTGTTGAAGAAGCTTTCCCTATCGATCTTGATAGCTGCAATGTCCCAGCTTGTCCCCAACCATACTAACGAAACATTTAGTCGTATCATTAGGAATTAAAAGCAAAAAGTGGGGTTAATTTTATAAAAATTGTCCAACGCAATCGTTCGTACTTTATTTCATGGGAACAAGCCAGTAGATTCTTCGAGTCTATCTATTCTGGCAGTATTTATTGTTTTTCTATATATGCCAGTCCATGTCATGCTTTCCTTTTCTGCTTATAGCGAATAGTAGAGCGACACACTGATCCCGAGACCCTCCTGGCCTGTTCCCGAGTATACGAAGTCTTGTGCCAGGATGATTTGAGTATCGCAGCCAACTGTCAGACTGTCCGTGCCACTTTACTCGACCGTCTCACTGACCTCTACCGCCGTGCCTTTCTCTCTTACTTCAATGAACAAGGTGATGAGCCGGATGCTGATGACGAATTCCACCTTGTTGCTGCTTTGAAACGCATCTATGCATTCTTTTCCTGCCATGACCTTAATGGTCTAGATCTTTGGAAGAGTCTACTCAAAATTGTATCTAGTTCTCCTAATGAAGCCACTCCTGAAATTATCGCTCAGGCTACTGCTTGTTGTGCAAAATCCCTTCTCTGGCGTCTGGCCCACGTTAGCGAGCCTGATCCTCCACAGGTATAACTTTTATATTACTATTAGAAATGAACCTAATGTTCTAAACTTGCTTAATCTATTTAATTAAAAGCTTACAGTTTTTCTAGGGCTTTCTACTCTTAGTTGTAATTGCTCTTCACGTTGTAGGTAGAACTGCCAAGTAATGCATTTGAGTTACAGTTCGTTTTCAAGGCTCAAATCTGACTACAGAGTAGACCGTTTGCTCGAAATTAAGAAGATTTTCATTTACTTGGTATCTCTTGCTCTTACGGAATAGTTGCTTATGGGTGCTTTGCAAGTTAGGGAAATGCCAAATCGTATTGATTAAGTCTAGTTAATGATTGAATGACGAAATTCGAGTTTCTCATCTAAAGTGAATTCCTTATTGTGTCTCTCTATCCAACTGGTTGTTGGAGTTATTTTATTTGATTTGAACCTAGTTGTGGTTTTGCAGTCGATGGAACCAGCTGAATTCTATTCTTGGTATTCAAATTCACTTCACGCTTTTTTTCTTTTAGTCTGAGGTTGATGAGCTGCGTCTAATGTTGGACGAATTCATGTCCCAATGTACAAGATGGTTGACATATGAGAACAAGAGGATTGCGTCTGAAGCCTATCTTTCAGTCTCGGATCTTCTGATTGCCTTTTCAAGACATCTTGCCACCACGGAACCGAATATCAAGTCGTTGGCCTATATTCCAAATTCAACGATGGAGGCTGGGTTAATCCGATTCCTAGAAGCCTTTGTGTTTGTGGATGTAAGCTACTTTCGGTCTTGCTTGCTTAGTATGATGACCTATTTTTTTTTTGTTGTCACCTTTGCCATTAATAAAGCCGGTAAAAGTAATTTATGATGATATAACTCTTTTAGGAAGAGGAAGATGAGAACGTGAAGTTTGAAGCCCTGCACGAGAGACGAATTCAACTGGCCGGTTTTTGCAAGTTAGTTGTGTACAACATCCTCCCCATCAAATCTGCCGCCCCACTCTACCGGCACTATATTCACTTTCATGGCGAGTTCGGTGATATCATGAAGTCTACTCTGGGCAAGTTGAGAGAAATAAATCGTACTCAAACTGCCAAGATGCTTGCCTACTGCTTGCAGCTTGGATTTAGTGAACTTCAAGCGGCCAGTCAAGTGAATCTTGTGGAACGCAGTACTGAAGGCTTCCAATCCTTGCGCGAGTTAGCACGCCGTCTGAATCTCAGTTTTGGCTTGGATCTTATCAAAATTCGAGAGGCCATGGTCTCCTTCCACTTCGATGGAATCCAATTTGTTCTCTCGACAAAGCCAGCTGGCGGGCCTAGTAACAGTGGTACAAGTTCTACATCTGCGCCTAACGGACTCCTCTTCCTAGAAATTGTGGCCGAGTTCTCGAATAAACTTCTATCTCAAGATAAACGAAGCCTCTCAAATTACACCTACAAAGTACGTTTCATTACTTATTATTATCTGGTTTACTATATTGTGCTTATTGTGAATCAGTGTTTCTCCCTTGATTTTTTATGTCTGTGTACCTTTTAGGGGTATTAAGTATTTAATGGCTACTTTCCATATAGGCACCATGGATGAACTAAATTTCATCGGTTTATTCTTTTTTCCCTGTTTATGGATAGCTTAAAGTTGAATTTGCACATTGTAATTTAATAGTCGTATTAGTAGTGGTGTTTCTTTCTACGTACTTGTAGGCCTTTCGAAATGCAACAATGGGCGAGGAGTGGGCATCACTGCAGGCCTATCGAACGAGCCTGGATCCCGACTCGACAGATCATCACGCGCTAGGTGGTGGAGCAAATCAGAGTCTCACTTCAGGAACCGTTGGACCTACTGGACGAGGTCGGGGTAGGCCTAGGCGGCCGAGGCCCGAGGATACTCTTGGTAAGTCTAGGACTGTACGGAATGCCACAACTACTTAATTCCTATTTTCGTGACTTGGTCAAACTATAAGACATCCTTTCTAATCTTTTTATGAATTTTTTTATATCAAATGGCAGGCTTTTTGATAGTTATTATTAGCCCTTTAGCTGACTTCGGGCTTCACAGAAGAGGGAACATCTAAGTCACAAAAAGTGGAGAGGGGAAAGAGAAGAGTGATTCACCGATGTAAAAGAGCCGACAGACACAAAGGTAGAGAAAAAGGCAAAGTGTGTTCTGTGGAAGTGGTTGAATATGTAATAGAGTCGGGTCATGATAGTTTGAAGTCAAAAGTGAACCGCCGGTTAGTAGATTTTTTGCCGTATGAGTATACGTTGCCCAGGGTGCACCATTTGGAGGTAAGTCTATCGCACACTCCATTTTCTTATAAATAATATGAATGGAATTGAATAACATGAATCAGAACTTTAACGATGATTGACATTCTTTAAATTCAATCTTCGTGGTAGCCTTTGAGTTGGCAATAGTAGGTACTGACAGCTCAGCTTTGAAGTCGGAAACTGCGAGAATCCTTTCATCGGAGTCTTTGCACTACATGTCACATTTATGACAAATGTTCTAGTTGTGTAAATGAGTCCTATTATCACTCACTCTAAGGTAAGCAGTTTTATTCACACGAATGCTACGAGCACTGTAGTAACAATTCCGTAAGTGATGAACAAAAGGAAATCTAAAGATATCAAAAACTGAACTCTTAATTTTGTGGGAGGGGGGGGGGGGGGGGGAANCCTTTAATTTTGGGGGGGGGGGGGGGGGGGCGTGAATATACTAATGGGCCACTCGTTTTAATGCAATTGTAGATCCGGGCACTCAGCAACTTGCGGGGGCTTCAGCAGCGAAACGAAGGAAACCTGACGATGTTTGTGTGTCCGGGACTGCATCTCCTGCTCGACGACCTGGTCGCCCTCCGGGGTATGAATTTAGCTCTCTTTTACTAGAACTCCATTGAAATCTTTAGCCTTTTAAAACTTAAGTGAAAGCTTATTGCTAAAATAGAATAGCCTGTTTGCAGATGCTGGTATTTCTTTGCTTCCCCTTTCACTTCTCTTGAATCAATTTCACTAAGTTCTTTGTGTAGCTGTCGTATAATAACTCACGTTATTGAGTCGTTGCCAAGTATCAGGTGAGAGCTAAGAGATAGTTTTTTGTAAAATTGAAGAACGGCTTTTACTTATTGTGTGGTTTGTTGTTTGAAAACTAGTCTTTGTGTCTTAATGCCGAAGTTGAATATTAAATAATTCTGTCTCTGTTCATTTCAACAGATCTAGTGTTTCTATTTATTATTGAACGACTGTCCAGGTCAGAGTTGCTCAAAGTTGTCTTGATTTCTCAGATATCCCTAGATTTGCTAATGAAAGTTTTGGTTGTGTGCTATGAAATGGTTATCAATTAGCTGCTACATTTATAACAAATATTTTTGTTGTATCTTTCCAGGAGTGGGAAACGGCAAGCTCCTGTAATGCCCCCTGCAATGGCACCCCTTGGTCACTAACGACAACTAAAGAACCTCTGATGCTCTCTCTTTCCGGCAGCAAAATCCAATCTCTGTCCCTCTTTAAATCGTTTAAGCATCCGTCCAAATTGGTCCTTTCCGAGCTGGCTCGCTTGTCTATCCCCTTCCCTTACTACCTTCTAAAGTATTGTACATACAACACTCCGACTTGTGTTTAGCGCGCAGCTCTTTCTTCTATGTATCTTTTTTCCCTCTTTTTGATATTCACCGTATGTGCAACCTCCCTGCTAGATTATGCTCTCCTGTTCTAAGCCTGTCGTCTCATTACTTGTAAGCTCTTGTTGGCAAATTTCAATAAAATATATAAGGCAGGCAAGTATACATTTATCTACCCCCCCCCCCCCCCTCTGTATTGCTGTCACGCTTGTCCCCATAGCCGTGTTTCACATCCCCCTCTCCTCCCCCCCCTCCATCTTGTTGTAAATATTCAATCGTACACTAAGTCATACGCATACCACCAATCTCACCAATTCTGTGCTATAAACATGCACCCTACTCTTCTACCACTTATAATTAGCATTAAACAAAGTTGATGCTGATTAATAAAATTCACGCGTGCACCTGAGGAGAATAACAACGGCGAGATCGTGAGTGAGTACCTCTTCTTCCGCTATTGTCGGACCTATCACTACTACTCTTATTCTTCTTTACTATTACCCTCTCTGTGTGTTTGTGTTTCCCTGTGTGCGCGCATTCTTTTAATACCAGATTTTACAATACAAAGATCTTTTTCGGCTTTCTTTGTTGTTTGGCATTTTCGAGGGTTTATAGGCTGAGGCTATTTTTTCTTCATTTATTCTGAGGTATCGCGGTGCTTTATAAGAGGGTACCACAGTGCGGCTAGTGCTTGTATGCATCAAAGAAAATTTGCATCGGGATTGGGACGTGTACTTGTCTGTCTAAAGGAACAACCCTATCTTGGAGTAAAAAGAGAGGTAGGGGGTCTTAGGCGTCGTATTTTTTCCCGTGTACTTTAGAAAGGTGCGTCTAGACGATGTTGGCTGGAGTGAGCTTGATTATTTTGAGCTGAGATGAAACTACCGAACTTCAAAGGTAATCGCCAACATGTGTCATTGAATGTATAAGTATTTGTAAGGTGTTAGAAGTGAATTAGCAACTAGGTATCTGATTTCTCTAGTTTATCCAAGAAATCTCTTCCAATTTCTACCTTTCTTCACGTTGGAAATTGGATAAAGAGAAGGCGGTTGTGACAAGCTGTGTTGATAGAAGTATTAGAAGAATAAGGGAGGGCGATAGACGTTGTAGAGGTGTCTATGTTTACTTGGCACTTCAAGAGGACATGAAATTATCATTATGGAGAATTCATAAACGCAGTGCACATCTACTTTATCGAATACCAGCTCAAATAGCAGGCGTCTTGATGGTTATCATTAGCCCTTTAGTTGACTTCAGGCTTCACAGAGGGGATGGAACATCAAATTGAAAAAAAATCGAGAGGGGGGGGGACAGAAGAGTGTTTCAAAGATGCAAGAGACAAACACAAAGATAGAACAAAGGTGATGTGAGTACTGTGAAAGTAGTCGAATATGACATACGGTGGGGTCATGGTAGTTTGAAGTCAGAAGTCAGCTGTCAGTTAATAGACTTTTGCCGTATGAGTATAAGTTGCCTAGGGTGCACCACGTGTAGGTAAGTCTATCGTGCACCCCTGACCTAAATATTGCGGAAGTGGAAAATGGGGAAACTAGCAATAACAATAAGAAATTGAAAAAAAGGAAAGTGGGCGCATGTGAGTGGAAAGTAGGAAACATGTGAGGAGAAAGACAAGGTCATACACAAATATATCCACTTTGTTAACCAAGATCACTAGTTGCCCATCCGTGTAGGGTTGAAATTTGAGGGGAGAGCCAAGTGGGTGTGCGATAGACTTACCTCCACGTGGTGCACCCTGGAAATATGCCTTCACTATCAACATCTTATTTGGAAGCGGAGGGGTGTGTGCGATAGACTTACCTCCACGTGGTGCACCCTGGACAGCGTGCGATAGACTTACCTCCACGTGGTGCACCCTGGGCAACTTTCAACCCTTGCTGGTTTTCTAAACAATTATTCTTAAGAATACGATAGACTTACCTCCACGTGGTGCACCCTGGACAACGTACTTTCAAATGGCAGGCGTTATGATAGGTATCATGGGGTGTGCAATAGACTTACCTCCGTGGTGCACCCTGGGCAATGTATATTTAGACTTACCTCCACGTGGTGCACCCTGGGCACCGTATACTCATACGGCAAAAAAGTCTATTAACCGGCAGTTGTTGCGATAGACTTACCTCCACGCGGTGCACCCTGGGCAACCCACTCATACGGCAAAAAAGTCTATTAACCGGCAGTTGACTTATCACTTCTCATACGGCAAAAAAGTCTATTAATCGGCAGTTGACATCTTGACTTCTGACTTCAAACTACCATGACCCCACTGTATGTTACAAAGTATACTCATACGGCAAAAAGTCTATAAACCGGCAGTGGACTTCTGACTTCAAACTACCCTCACCCCACTATATGTCACAACTTCTCACTTCAAACTACCATCACCCCACTGTATGTCATTGTGTATGCGCATACGGCAAAAAAGTCTATAAACCGGCAGTTGATCTAACCCTAACACGGCAAAAAGTCTATAAACCGGCAGTTGACCTCTGACTTCAAACTACCATGACCCCACTGTATGTCATATTTGGGCAACAGACCTCATACGGCAAAAAGTCTATAAACCGCTGGGCAACGTATACTCATACGGCAAAAAAGTCTATTAAAGGCAGTTGACTTCTAACTTCAAACTACCATGACCCCATTGTGGCAGTTGACTTCTCACTTCAAACTACCATCACCCCATTGACGGGCAACGTATACTCATACGGCAAACAAGTCTATAAACCAATGGGCAACGTATACTCAAACGGCATACCTCCACGTGGTGCACCCTGGGCAACGTGTACTTACAACCTCCATGTGGTGCACCCTGGGCAACGTATACTTATGCGGAAAAAAGTCTATTGACTGGTAGTTGACTTCTCACTTCAAACTACCATCACCCCACTGTATAGTTGACCACTGACTTCAAACTACCATGACCCCACTGTATGCCTTGACTTCTGACTTCAAACTACCATGACCCCACTGTATGTTACAAAGTATACTCATACGGCAAAAAGTCTATAAACCGGCAGTGGACTTCTGACTTCAAACTACCCTCACCCCACTATATGTCACAACTTCTCACTTCAAACTACCATCACCCCACTGTATGTCATTGTGTATGCGCATACGGCAAAAAAGTCTATAAACCGGCAGTTGATCTAACCCTAACACGGCAAAAAGTCTATAAACCGGCAGTTGACCTCTGACTTCAAACTACCATGACCCCACTGTATGTCATATTTGGGCAACAGACCTCATACGGCAAAAAGTCTATAAACCGCTGGGCAACGTATACTCATACGGCAAAAAAGTCTATTAAAGGCAGTTGACTTCTAACTTCAAACTACCATGACCCCATTGTGGCAGTTGACTTCTCACTTCAAACTACCATCACCCCATTGACGGGCAACGTATACTCATACGGCAAACAAGTCTATAAACCAATGGGCAACGTATACTCAAACGGCATACCTCCACGTGGTGCACCCTGGGCAACGTGTACTTACAACCTCCATGTGGTGCACCCTGGGCAACGTATACTTATGCGGAAAAAAGTCTATTGACTGGTACTTCAAACTGCCCACGTGGTGCACCCTGGGCAACGTATATTCATACGGCAAAAACGTGGTGCACCCTGGGCAACGCATACTCATACGGCAAAATGTGGTGCACCCTGGGCAACGTATACTCATAAGGCAAAAAGATCCTATTAACTGGCAGTTGACTTCTGACTTCAAACTACCATGACCCCATGGTATGTCATATTCGACCCCATCCACAGTACTCATCTAGCCTTTTCTCTGCCTTTGT